AATATGATAACGACAGTTCTAAGCTTGCCATAATGGAACAGTGGTCACTGTTAGCCAGAGGTTCGATGACTTTGATCTCGTTCAGCCTCTGCTCGCAGCTCGTAAACGTTAGGTCCAGACAAGATGTCGAGTGCGTAGTTACGCTCGTCGGTTGGATGACATGTTGCGTTACCTCGGTTTTAACAGTCATTTTAGCGATTTGAGCCTCTACATTGCCATGACCCAGAAGAAGTCGAACATCTTGCCAAAATATCTTAGGTAAATTTAGATCCCCCTTCAGTAAGAACTGAAGGCGGCTCATGTGCTTCTGAACATGTGGTAGCCAATCGCAACAACGGTTTAATGAGCTCCGGTAGATAACCCCCACTATTAGTTCTGCGCGCCTGAGGCGGATTGTACACCACAATTGCTCGAATAAACTATCCTCGCTCCGATGTGCTGGTAAGTTTGCCAGATAGTGACGATTTTATGTACAACAGAACACCATCGTGAACCTTTGATTTTCGGTCGCATCAGAAACAAACGTATGCTGACAGCGAGAGTCCTTGAATTATGACGTCGGAGTTTAGCCAAGTCCCTGCAAATCCTAAAACGTCGGACCGCTCCGAGACAACGAAGCGGGACAGTTCATCACGTTTGTTCCTTAAGGCTGCACACATTGACGAATGCCACACGGAGGTCCTGGAAGGTACTGCAGGACGTGCCTGGAGGTGGACCAACTGGTGGATACGGGTTCGTACACCCTTCTTGATCACCCGAACATTTACAATTTGTAAGTCAGTCTCACCTTTTTCTGTACGGCGTTTGAGCAGTCTTCAAACGATCCCTGTCTTCGGGTTCCAAGTCTCGGCGGATGTGAACTTTTATGCTTTTCAGCCTTGACAGACGCGACACTATGAGTTACAGCATATTGTGATATTCAAAGGTGATTCTCAGAAGTCGACATGACTGTTTACTTTTTTGGCTAAGTCGGATTACTTGTTTAATCATCGCACTGTCTTCACCCACATCCAAGAGTCTGGCTCTGGAGGAACTCAACATCGTGATCATAACGTATCGGATGATTTTCATCTTTTGACTGATACGTGGAAGACCATGAGATTATGACGTCTCAACGAAATCAGTGTGGTAACTGTGGGAGCAGAACTAGAGGCGCTTAACTGATTGGGTTGTTGTTTATCAGTAGGTGATGTTTGAACTCGATTACGTGGACCCTTGCACTCTTGAGTGGTCCATGGATTCTCGGTGTTCAGAAGTTCACAGACAGCCTCTGAGAAATTGACGGACCGATCAGTGAAGCGGCATTTCGTAGGTTCCGAGTCTGAGTCTTCCATCGGTGGGGAACACTGAAACTGGGGCTCGGCCGGGGTCGAAGATGCTGGTGGTGGTGCAGATCACGGTGTGACAATAGAAGGCGTGGTGACATAGGTACTTTCACGAGGGCGTATGACCCCACGTGGTGAACGGTTTGTTTCTATCTGAAAGGGAGATTTTTCCGTAGTTGTTTGCGGTCTCTGCGTATTCTGATCTCTTCTACCGCGACATTTATCACATATAACTTGAAAAAAACGATGTCGGATGTCGAGCGATTTTGGAAACACTTCAACGGATAAGCCAATGCGCGAAATATGGAACGAAACATCATAACCGAAGCACCGAAATGCATGAGCCATATTTCCCACAACTTTCGAACACGAACCACAAGTAGCTTGAGACGGCATCACAAGCTAGAGCAAATCTAAGATAGCGGACACAGGTGGCAGTAGAGCAAATCAATGAGATCTCGGGAGTAGCCAAAGAATAGTCGCCAAATTCGCACCGCTTGGAAAATGCGCCAGAGGAAGAATACTGGTGCACAATTCACATAGATACAACGCTGATAATACAGTAATCTGAGGCAAAAGTAGTATCCAGCACACGCTGATCCAAAAATACGCGACGTCCCTCAGATATGTGTTTTAACTGTTTCAAAAAGAGTGGTAGATGTGCTCTGGGTTTCTCAGGATCTAATACACCATTATGAAATCTCCCCGTAGACGCTGATAACGGCCGCTGTACATTTTGAGAGCTTTCGCTCAGAGTGTGTGAGAATGGCAGAAGAGACCTATGACGTTATTTGTCGCTCTGCTTCGTGCAGTATCCAGCGCGGTGAGGTGGTGCTTCTTCCAGGGTTGTCACGCTTGGATAGCGTATTTCGCTGCGGCCTCACGTACGCGCCAAGCATTTTCGGAAAGGTTGAGGTGTCAGACTTCCCGAACGCTTCACGAAGAGGGTAAAAGCAGAGGTTTGCTTTCTTTGATGCTTTTCAGCCTGCTTTGGACATCCAACGTCGCACTCATGAGAAGCCCGCTGTAGAATTGCTGTCCAGCAGTTGTGAGCATTCTGATGGCTTGTGCTCAGAATATTGCACTTGGTGGCGTTGAACTGCAGGATGTTCTCAGTGGACCATGTGTTCGCTTTGCCTAGGTCCTCCTGTAGGGCTGTGGGAATCTCCACTGAAGAGATTACATGCCATATCTTCAGATCATCGGCAAATAATAGACAGTTTGAAGACATCATTTTGGCGAGATAAATAATGAAGACCAGGTACAGGCCGGGCTCAAGTACCATGCCCTAAGATACGCCGCAGTGAACTGTGATTGGTTCCGACAAGGTACTGTGAACCCTCTTATTCAGGTGACGTTGAACGAGGAAGTCACCTACCTATCCCAGAACGGGGTTCGCCGAGACCATAATTGTGGTGTTTGTGCAGTACATCACGATGGTCCAGGTGGTCCAATGTCTTTGAGAAATCCAGGTAGGCTGCGTTTACTCCTACATCAGCGTCTACAGATTCCGTCCACTTTGCAGGAGCTATCAACAGATAAGTGTTATAGGATTGATTTTGACTAACTCCGTGTTGCTCTGGAAGGGAAATTTTGTTACTCTCCAGATACTCCATGAGCGCCTCAGAAACAATAAACTGCATGATCTTGGAGATCACCCGAAAAGTGCTGGTTTTGCACGGCCACCACATTTGTATATTGGAGCACAGATCGCATGCTTTCACATCGTGGGACGTGCATCTCGTTAAGACATGGCTGAAAGAGTAACGTTGCCAGACCGCTAATGGGAGTGGAAGTGCCTTTTCTTAGTTTTCCTTGTCACCGTACTTTTTAATGGTGCCATGTTGTTATACATCCTCAGTTTCAGTGTAAATTGATGAAAGAGCTCACATGTTGTATAAAACGAATAGTGACTTGTCTAAAACTAACTTGATCGTTGGGCCGTGGTCTTGAACAGTTGCCATATTTAGAATGTGGAGGAATGGTTCCATGCTTCCATATGGTAGGGAACTGCTGCTCATCAAAGCAACTTTAGAAGAATCGCGATAATGGCTTGCCTAGCTTCACAGCTGTCAACTCCAACATTTCCGAGTGAATATTATCAATGCCAGATGCTCCATATATGTGCAACGATAGCAACAGCATCGATACAGCCGCTGAACCAAAGGTGAGCTGGATACCTCATAACGTCTGGAAGATTGGGACAAATGAGTGAAACATGATAGCGGCTGCATATTAAAGCATATGGTAGCCGTAGTGCGTTTCCTCCATCCTCGGCGTTTTAAACACATCCATTTACTAAGATGAGTGGGGGTTGCAAAGCTTCAGTGTCCAGAGGCTGTTTACATGTTTGTACATTTGCCTGTAGTTTGTACAGGATCGTTGTGTTAGTCACAGTTGGTTCCCTAATTGGTCCTCACGGACGTGTGAGGTAAGATGATAACGCTGAAGTAAATAATTGTTCTCCTTAGCAGGACTGGGCTTATATCTGTGCGCACACCACGCTGGGTCACTTAATTCCACGCACTTTTGAGCGTTGCTCCGAATTAACGGGTTGTCCTTTCGGAAACAAGTGGCTTGGTATCTGAAACAGATGTGACCAGATTACTGAACTTGTCAACAAAATCAGTTGGGATGCTACCTATAGAACCGTCATACTAAAAGTCACAAACGGATTCTTCAACGACTTAATTTAGTATGTCGTATTCTTGCCTTTATTAGTTAGGGCCTATAATGGTCAATGAGAAGCGTATGATTTCGACTCAACTGTAGCGCCTGCAGCAGTCTCTCGGTCTGTCTGCATGCTGATTGCCTGGTTCTATAGTCACTGCATTTGTAGTGCGACGTGGTTTGTCACACGGCGTTGCAGGGCACGTTAAGCAAAAGTTTCGGCCGCTTAATAGCCGTCTTGAGTTGTAAACAAAGTCCTCAACCAAGAAAAGTCACAGAATATCCGACGGCTCTTTTGCAGTCGGCAGCCGTGATTTACGACGCGCACTATCGCGCTTATATTTCGTTTTCGTTGAAACCACACGTTTTCTTGCAAAGTGTCGAGAAATTGTGCGCTTGTATTTTGGCGATCAGGGCACACCAAAAACTGTGATGTGAAAGTCCAAGGTGCTCCGCGCATGTTAGATCCAAAACTTGGAGTGCTCTACATATCGCTCATCAAGTTGTGACGAATGCGTGTAGGTACGCAAGTGTACGGTGAGAAATGCTTAGAGAATCCGGGCGCAGAACGAAAGCAGAAAAAATGCAATTGTGCCGCAGATATATCACATTTACCGACTTTCTCTGAGAACTTCGAGGAACCGTAGACTATTTTGTCGCTCCGCATTGTGTAGGTGCTTTTGTTTGTATTGTGTCTTGTCCCCAGGGCAATGGACACTAGATATCTGAAGAGCCCATGAATGAGCTGGAATCCAAAGGATGAAGTTTGTCTTCATTGATCGCAAAGCAGTGGAAGAAAGGATCAGTCTAAAGCCTAAGATGAGCCTGTGCGAAGATTGATATTGCTAGGGTGTTCAGTTTAACTAGAAATTTGATGGACCAGTGCCAGTACCAATTAACCCAGAAAATCGCTTGTCAGTGGGGCTTTAATGAGCACACATGTGCTCTAAGCCACAAAGATACGTTGCAGCGTTTGCTAGGTGGATGGAGCACAAGTTATGTTCGTTAAGGCACACCTACCATGAATCCTACTTGATTCCTTAACGAAGGCTGATTCGCGACCTCGCAAATCGGTGGCGCTATCTGAAACATAGATATGAAACAGGATTCCGCTTTTTATCAGTCGATTTTGGGAAAATTTTCCTGGAAAAACCGGTACGTGATATAAACTTGCAAGGGTTCGCTTAACCGCAAGAATATTAGTTAGATGTTAGTGTCAAAAGAGTTATGGGCCGTTAACTTCATGCACTTTGCTAGTGTGTAGATGGCAGGCTAGGCAGTTATTTAAGGCGAGTTGTCGGGCGCCTTTCTGATGCCGATCGAAATCATCACAGTTGTTCCATTTCTGTTTTTATTTATCTGTTGCGGAGTCCCCCCATGGATGACGGCAACGTCGTGCTATTTAGTAAGGTTGATTTTTCAAGATGAGCTCTGGTTAGCCTCACAGTAGTCCCCCCTATACTTCGATGTGTGTCTTGCAACAGAATCGTTGCTTGCTTTTGATCGATCCTCAGCCACCCGTTAGTCCATCGGGCCTCAAAGTTGTCAATAAACTCCGTTTTCTTACCAACTGCACAAGAATTATTACGCACGCAGCGGGTTAATTTCCTTAACCTGACACACGTAACAGAGCTATTTTCAATAAGTTGTAATACATCTGACGGAAGATGATGGTATCTCCTTCATAAATTTTACGCGGTCTACAGGGTCATTGTGAACCCTTTCATTCCAAGGCCGTGAGATTTGGTAACATCAGCTGCTTTAGCTTTTTGAACCTAGTTGCCTTGGGGAATTACTAGTTTTTAATGACAAAATCGTGTCCACTGCTTTGCGGTCTTTGAGCTTTGGGTTTCATGATTATCACATTATTTCATAAGATCAACAAATCACAGTAAGGCACGTCGGCTTGGGCAGATACTTTGTGCACTTGCCCCCCGTATCCAGGTCGGTGTTACATTGCTAACCAGATGTGTGTTTACGTAAATCTCGGAGTAGATAATCTTTAAGTATTCCATTATAAATATAGTCTGCGACGACGAATTCAGATACAGTTGACCAGACTCATGTAACCGCGTCCAGAAACAATCTGTGTCTGACTTGATCTATCGAATTCGTGGGACCCAACTGGTACAACTGATATTTCTTAGAGCTTTCTAGTCGATCTATCTGTATAAACTGGTGTTGTACAAAATACTGTGGGTCCGCCTTCTAATAAGTTTGGGCAGTGAAAACAGCTTGCTTACTTCTTTAATGGATAACAGCTTAACTTTCACAAGTTTGTTGGTTATTTGTAGTTGTGCATTGTTAACATTCTGGTGATGGTTTTATTTGTAGTGGTCATTTAGGATGTCAACTTCTTCGTTAATTTCCTTTTTATCTCCTCCTTTCTCTTGAAATAAGATGGGTTGCCACGAATTGTTAGCGACTGTATAGCGGTGGGGATCCAGTAGGAAGCCAAAGTCTTCAGTTACTAATGTATACGCTAAATTTTATCTGATAGCAGCAGTTTTACCGTCAAATGTGTCGTTTTACTATGACATTCTTTAGACATAACTCCGCACCGTTTCTTCATTAAGTCACACCAATTACGGCAAATCAATCCGAAGTATGGTGTGGATTTTCGTAATGCCACATAAACTGTGCCCATCCGCATGGGAGCATGCAGTAGGAAATGGCACTAACTAGACCATCAAGACAGAAACATTTGCAATTCAGCTCTAGTGAGTTTGTTCAACAGTTCACCAAAAGTTGGGCTAACCTTGAAGCCTTAAACATGGCAACGTTTGGGGAACTTACCCTATACCATGCTTCCGTTATCTGGATTCGCTCGCCACACCAGCCGAGGGGGTTTCCGAGTGTGCTCGCTTTCACACACTATTTAACGCAATGCTTAAAAACGCCTCAATACTGGCAGCTGTGGCGTACTATTGGTTAATGCGATAGCATTTAATTTAAACAATTCGGATAAAAGAGCTTATCCTTTTTTAGTTACTCTGTCCTTTCTTAAACTCAGGACAATTCCAAACTGCTAAGGAGTAAACGCACCGATGTGGGGATGCTGTATAGGGTATCTGGGATATCGATTCAAATGACTAGACATATGTCATTTCTGTTCACTTCCGAATTACTCCTTATTAAATGGTGGTCATTTTTATAACCATTACATCGAACCCATACCCATATGAAATTGAGACTGACACTTGGGTTGAAAGATGGGCTATGATACACAAACACTTTGCTCTCCCCATCAGTAACTAACTCAAATGAATTTGGTTCCTTCATCAAAATGGCCGTAAAACACAGAAGACTCACCTGTTTGTATACCTTGTTGTCCTGCATAAAATTGTGCACATGTTTTTCCGCTCGCGACAACTCCAACTTTCTGGCTACCACAGCAACCACCAATGCAGTACAGGCGGATCCCTGTGAGAAGTCGGGATAGAAGATACACAGGGAAATTCGACTTTTCACATTGCATGTTAACGACGATACCAATGTAAAATTTGCTGATTTAAATAATGTGGCGGGAGTTTTGGATCCAAGTCTATCCACGGCTTACAGCCTTTTCCGCATAGTGCCTTCTCCTTTTGACTAGAATACGTTGCGTTAAAAGTTCGTAGGTTGTAGTTGCAATATGTACCTAGACAAGATTGGTCGTCTGTAGGCTGGAAGATTTGCTACGGTTGTTTGAGTAAACCAGGCGTAACGCTTTCGGCGAGTTACCAAATATCAGTCCGGACACTTCCTGAGTCACTTCTGGATTCATTAGTATTCTCTTTTGTTTCTATGGGTCCATTAGGTTGCTGGAACAACTTCCTCGCTTTTTCCCGAGAGCCCGTCTAATCCGGCTAAAAACGACTGACAGCTATCCGCTTGGCAATAATACCCAAGCTAGTTCCTTAGCACAACAGATAGCACTGAATAAGTTGCGTTGGCTTGGGCGCTTACTACGTATACCTTTTCATTGCGTACCAAGGAGGTCCTCGTTTAGTCTGTCAGATGTAGGGTGGAGCAACTCTAGAGGTGCACAATTTTGAGTTACCAGAAGGAAATGAATTCAGTTACGACCAAACTCGTTGCTTCGGTCCGCCTCACCTTCGGGGTTGAAGTCCACGTGAGCCACCTCGTGTTTGGCTTGAGAGTTTACAGGACATAGCTCGCAGTCAGCACCAGTGGTGTTTCTGTTGCCGCCTAGTTAAACTACTTGTTTACTATGTGTTTCGTGCTGTTACCTGCAGAGTACTGGATGATTAGGATGCCGGGCAGTGTAAACTGCAAGGAAGCTGTCTCGCCGATGCGCCTTGTCTTTGCAAGTTAGCCAGCTGTTTGTGATGGTGTGTTTTCCACAAGATTCAGGCGCCTTGACCCTGAATGTTCGCTTATGGCATTAAATTTCTTTGCTAAGTCCCCCTTCTCTCCCTTCTATTATTCTTACCTCCGTAGATCCTTATGGTTGTGTGGCTGCGAAGCATCATTTCGATTGGCTGATGTACTGCTGTTGATGATGATGATCATGATCCACTACAGGTCTTTTAACGAACTTTAACTTGGTTCTTATACTGTAAACAAAGCCGGATTCCTGTTTAAATAAAGCGAGTCATGCGGAAAATAGCACGAGGGATACGAGGCAAGAGGTATATACTGATCAGATTTTGTATTCCATTTGCATACTTTTGTAAAAGTAGTGTTGAGGCTAAAACGAATTCTGATAGTAGCCAATATTAGGAGCTAATGTTTGGATACTAGAAATTAGTATATTTCGTCACATCATCATAACGCTTACTTGTGTTAAGGTAACGGGAGTAGACTTGCGGAAAATGTTGCAAACGCGAATGTCCGGGTGCATAATCGGCACCCACAAAACTTACGTTCACTTTATCACTTATTTTTGAACGCCATCGTTGCGTCGACGTAAATTACAATATGCTGCTTGGCTAGGTAAAACAGCAATCATGTTATGTTTAACTAAACAAAAATCATAGAAAGAGGAAAGTGGATAATCTAGCAGACAGATATGTTTGCAATTAAACATGGCTAGATAGGTGAACGGCAGGGGCTGACTACACTGTGCCATGCAACCTTGTTCTTCCATACCCTTTTGTGTCCAATTTTGTTTCTTACCATCGAACACATCATCCATCAATGGTAATTCTTCTTTCCATTAGTCCTTTGTGTGTCACGCCACTTCATCATGCGGCTACTCTGCTCATTGGCTATGCATACAACTGCTTCGCTCCGGCTATCCTATCCTATTCATATCAATACGGACCTTGGTTAATTCCACCTTCTCAATAGCTAACAGCCGCAGTGTTGTAGGTATTGTAATCCAAAAAATCTGGTCAGCTTCCAAACTTGATCTATGCTATGCCTATTCACTGCTATCACTGAACCGCTTGGAGGCGCTCTGCACTTAGACTTGTTGCTCAATCGTCACGACAAATCACGCGCGTTCGATAGTGCATGCACGCAACTCCCTTACGGTTGGCTGCCCAATGTACAGTGAGGTATGCTTAAAATACACCATCTTCGATGGTGCATCGCTTAAATGTTGAAGGCAGATCTACCTTTATTCTTTCTTACAGGTATTCCGAAACAAAGCTGGGTTTTCAACTACTGTTTCGGATCACTGACTCGAATTTCAATTACTTTTTCCTATGTTCGTCTTGTAAAATACCAACTTAAATATTCCCATTATCTTTCACGTCTTAGTACTTAGAACCCCGACGCTACGAAACCAGAAGATAGTGAGCCACGAGTAAACATGCATTGGAAAATGGGAAATGTACTTCACTACTGAGTTGAGGCTCACCAATTTACGATATTCCTCAGTGCCTATGGCTGATCAGTGTTATTAGGCTATCTAGTCAAAAAATGCAGCTGTATCACGAGCGGAATCTTCAATGGCACTTCTAACGGTATTTGCCAAATTCCAACAACATTGATGTACTACGACGTCGAATGGGATTTGAATAAGACGGAGACTGACGTTCAGCGCATACAATGAAGTTGTAGCTATTGGTTCAAATATTCGCATCTATTTAAAATGCGTCTTCATTGCGAGTTCTGTACAGCGGTTTTCCAGGCAGATGATCTAACGCACATGAGAACACACACGAAACCGAACCCATGATCTTTCGACACCAGCGGATTGCGTCAGTAACCAATGATAATAGGCCACAGGTAATAGTAGCGGCACGTCATTGTTTGATGGACGTACGCCCCACTGTGATTCCTTTTTATGATTGCCGCATAGAACAGGCATGGTACCCAGCGTCACAGCTTCTCATAACAGCAGTTATGTAAGATGTAGCAATTGGGAGGTGTTAGGGCGAAGTTTTGCCTACTCTTGAGTATAAGACTTTGCATAAATATATTGCGAGTTCTTCACAGTAACTTCAAATTCAAGTACTCTGCGGAACATTCGGTGCACTTTAAGTAAGGTTATATCAAAAAACACCTTGCTCGATCCAAGTCAAGTCAAGAATGTACTTTACATTGACGAAGGGTGAATATTCAACTGCAACACACGATCTGGACATGGATAGTAGATGAAATAGGATATTACGGCAAACTAGGCATAACGCAGCATTTACTAGAGAAAACGCTGTAATGACCAAACTCACTGAAAATCTTACCCACCAGTTCTTGACCGAAAATTTTTGCGCACTCAACTCTACAATTCAGGAGCAATTGACGGTCCATAGGCACGTGCACAGGCATATTAACTTGTATACATTTGTCTGGTCGAGCAATTTGATTAATATTCAGACAACACCATGGGGAGGCGATGATTACCGGTATACAAAATTTTCGAAAGAAATTTTATGCAGAAGTTAGAGAAAGTGTTAACAAGAGAGAGAGAGTGTGTGTTACCAAGTTCCGGCCTTGAAATGTCACTATTTGAGATGGATGTTTCACTGGCGTGGCAATCATGGCCGTCATTACTCAAGTGGGCATATACAATCACGGAGGAAGTCCTGATTAAATAAAAGGTATTCTTACACATTTCGTCTTTCACTAGTTGAAAAACAATCGCTACTACCCAATTGGCTGCACCAGAGCGGATTCAAAACGAACCATATGGTCACTTTTTCTCCCGCAATTTTGTCACGCGTACTGTACGCACACCTAGAACTAACTTGTCAAACGGTAATAAATTTTGACCAAAATGCAGCCGATTCATGTATTGAGCTTTCTTACCATGACGCCAGCGATAACAGAGGTGGAACGTCCACAGTGGGTACTTGGTACCATGTCTCCATACCCAATACTCAAGAAGGTCACTGCAATGAGCCACATTGTGTTAAACATTTTTTCGTATTCAGGGTTTTGATCTCTGGAAAAGAAGGTCCAAAAAAGGTATTTTGCACCTGGTAGAAATTAATCCAAGAAACACATGGCCTTACACAAAACAAGCACTGATAGGCTGTATGCAGCCGATTTTGTGATTCCCAGTTCAGTGGGATTATGTCTGTGCAACTAATTAACACATTAAATTTAGCTGCTAAGTGCTTGGGTGACATCACGAAGTGAGACCCATCGATGATGGCCGGAAGTGAACTTATCCCCATGCATGAGCGAACGCGTCACGAAGAAGAATATAGACGGAATACACGTTTAATGCAATGCTCATAATGTAATAGAGCTACAGTTGACAATATCGATTTAATCCATGTGGACTCCCTTGCCATGCCGATACATATTATTCTATTTGCAGCATACACAATGCGCTAGGAGCTATATTCAGTTTGGATATTAATGATAGCAGCATATACGCTGAATCGGCAAATCAAACTAAATGAATCCTTAATCACTTCAATCACTTCAGTGCACTCACTAAGAGTGGGTCACCAGGTCAACTACAGTGCCTCATTCGATGTCCTGCATTACAGTACACAAACCAGTGGAATGGCTTGAGCTACCTGTCTGTGCATGATGCTCTCGCGACGAAATTCATGAACGGCAGAACTTTAAAAGAGGTATTGGAAATAAGTGACTAGGTGCTTAAGTACAATGTTACGAGTGGCTGCGCAACTGCAGCCTTCCATGGGCTATAGCTAGATGTAAATGTTTCTAAGATGAGAGTAAGTTCGTAAATGTCTTTGTTGCTTTTACAAGCACTCTGGAAAAGTGGTACGCAAGGGCTGGCTGGAAAGTTCTGGTGAATACGTGGAACAGAATTTGTGTGAAAGACTGGGTAGTAAATTTGCAACTATTAACGTCACTAACCTCTCACAAACACGCATTATCCAGCTCGTAACCACCCACATTGACAGTATAAAGATGAGCAACATGGTACCAGGTTGAGCGGTGGCCAGGGTTTTTAGAACAAATCGGACATTGATTTTTACTCGATTGAGCGCTCCGATACTTTGGGAACCAGCGTCAGTGAAAAAGGAGGAGTGTAAAAGAAGAACGCGAAAAATCAAAAACAGTCGAAAAAACATTGGAATACACAAATTGAGTTCGAGGGAAATATTTTCTGATCTCGGACCGGTAAGGTCTATCCCAGCGGTTCTGATAGGAAGTGGAGTTGGTTCCACAGAATGCATGTGTGTGATGCCTGTGTTTGAGTTGTTACTGGCATCAAAATGTGTGCGCTTGGAGTTGAGCCAATTGGTTTGGTTGCCGGTTTTGAGGTACATAAGCGGAATGTCGCTTGAGTTCATTGACTTCAACACCTGGTTTGTTCGCTGTATGGAATATGGCTTGTATTTCACCATGGAACCTGTCGACCAATCGTAGTTGGAAATGAAAGGAGGAGGATGTATGAGACACAGTATCACCTCGAGTGCAACGAGGCTGATCCGTTTCCAGCTAGTAGCGATTCGCCAATCTTCTATGCAATTATTCACTGAGAAAAGCTGAAACGTTCAATAAAGAAAAATCAGCTTACTAGCAAAAGTAAATGGTGTGGGGTGATAGCTGGAGTAATAGACATTTGTAACTATCTTGCCACATGCTTGGAACCAATGGAAAAGTCGCAAACTCTGATAGATTTTTGAATGATCCTTTGGTGCACTGGCTGGGCCACTTACGATTCTGACACTGTAGCATCGTTAAGTCACTTGAATCGTCTCCCTCAAGTAGAGCGGTAATTTACAAGGAACGGAGCCAATAAACTCGATAGCTGTGAGGTGAGCTTCGGGTTTCTTGAACTCACAAGTTGCAATGTCACCTGAAGTGGTCCAATCATAACTGGAGTAGTCCAGGCGTTTCCCAACGCGTCATCGCATTGGAGGATAAGCCCTTCATCGGTTTGCAATTTCCAACCGCATGCGCGCATCCAGGCTCGTCAGACTGGCCGGATTAAGAGCGCTAGCCACGCAGATGAGAGTTCCACCCTACATAAAATTGGCCCAACAGTCGGATTTGTTGGTAGCCACCGCCTCGTAAAATCAACCTAGGGTGCACTGAACACAGACCCACCCAATGATTCCGATCGTAAACAAGTGGACTTTGTGCCATGTCTACGGTACGTACTACTTTCCTAGGATACTTTAGCAATAAGGTAATCAAACACGTTGGTGGTAAAAGGTGCCTTTTGGACTCTGCTACCCATGTACCCAGTGCCTTTTTCGTTTGGCCTGTGTTCACATGTGTACATATACCACATTACTTTTGAAGATGGTGTGTTGCTGTATCCGTAGTAAGCGGGCCTTACAAAAACATCAGGGTTAAACCTAATGTTTCGTCCCCGTTGCATACTTCCCTTACGTCCGCTTTGTTTAGTACCCTTAAAATTGCCTCCAGTTCCCTCCTTGTACGGAATACATATTGTCTTTTCCACTGGTTCATTGGTGGTGGTTGTAGACTTACTACTCATAGTAATTGACATTTAACTACCCACAACACCGGGGCTGTCTTCACGCAAATATATTTTGGATGAGATGAAGTGAGATGTGATACCCCATCAACTTTCAATTAACCCCCATTTATGTGAGCCAATCAGTCAATACCTAGGAATACACCACTACAGAACCCCAACACAATGTAAGATTTCACCCCTCGTCACTGAAGTTTAATTGATTTAAAACCATTTCACCTCTATTTTTTCATGATCGCCAATTTTTGGCGAGTAACTAAAGCTGGTTAACGCTCTGTTCCTGAACTATTAGATGCATAAGTTCTCCAGTGCTGGGTTATGCGCAATCCCATGGCGAGTAGTTCGCAGAAATTTTGATGACGCTACGTATATTTTGCGATTCCTAACAAGCACAATGATGCAGGCGATCTTTAGGCTGTACCAGTAGCTATTTTGAGTGCTGAGTACCAAGAAAATGGATTGCGATTTGTCCAAAAATATGCCTGTCGATAAACAAATTCGAATTCATGCTGCTTAACAAAAACACCGTAAGCAGTCTAAATTAAGAAGCATGGAATTTTCCCAGAGTAGCAGCGGTTAACTGCATTTTTACATGGGTTATCTGTAAATGTGAATGATATAGCATTTCTCGGTACAATCCGCGCAATGGTACGCACATTAACCTCTGCAGCCTTAATATACTCGAAAGATATGACGTACAAACAGCCTTCGATTCCTACCCAAGAGCATCCTAATTCACTGACTGAAAGTAATGACTTCCGTTGCCTGTAAGTTGACACTGTTACAGCTATACCTTTCCGTTGTCCATATAAAGTCAAAATCGGGAGATTAGATGGCATGAGTCAGTCGATCGCTTAGTTAAATCTGGCCGAATAGCACAACGTTCACTAACGCCGGCAGCATTGAAATTCACTGTTTCGTTGCCCTGTGATTAAGTTTATTCAGTGTATAGTCCAGTTTCAGGAAAATTTTCTTTGAAGCTAACAGAACTAACAAGCATATTTTTTTAAATGGGAGAATTTATGTGATAAAACTTCCCGTACGAAATACCATATGCCCCTTAAGAAGTTGATAAACGAATGAATTACATCATGAAGAAGGCAACGGATGTTCCTAGGAGTAGTGATGTAACGATGCTTTGTCGATTCATAATGACATGCTGTTGCATTAGAACAATGTTCACTAGATCTGCGTTTCCTAACTGAGTTTGCTTGGGCACAATTGCTGTGCAGCCGAGGAAGAGGCTGCCTTGAAACTTTATCTTGGTAGTAAGTTCTTATCGTCAGCTCTAACCCGTTACCAGCACCGCAGGCATTTATTTAATTCTCTGATTTTTTAATAATTTACATATTAACGAAATCTCTCTGATTACCCAGCTGGATGAGACTACAACTCGTGTCATAAAATCGTTTTACATCGCATGGCCAGAGTTTCTAAAATTAACTACGTTGAGGACCACAAGTAAACTATGTGACCCATGGTTGTGCAGCTAGCTTTTTAATAGGCAGTGTGGCTTACATTCGTCATTTATCGAACTGTGTAAACCCAACCGATAGAGTAATTTTGGTCGCAGAGCAACGGACATCTCTAGCAATATCCAAACGGCTACCACATAGTCGGAGCAAGTTGATCATCTATTTAAAACGCGATGGCGGATCAGCTAGCTTTGTGGCCGGGACATCCAGGGCCTTCAGGCAAATGGTATTGGCACCTTAATGAACTAGGAATGCAGTACAAGAAACTTAGTTGGCACGAATGCTAAACTAAAAGACATTCATATATCCTATACTTGATAACTTGAATGACAGTGTGACACGCGCAAGCAGCACATGGGAAGATTGGAGCGTAATGTAGGCGCAAAGGATTGGCCGCCTAGAGGGTGCTTTGTGTCTGACATCTTTTGTTACAAGTGGGAGGTGCAATGCACTAACTTACGAAGGTTTTTGACTTACGTGTACAGTAGCCTGTTTCCAGCCTGGAACCTTTTGGTTAGGCACTACTGATGGGTTAATTTGCCCTCACATACAAGTGTGATACCATGTTTGTGATTAATCAGGAAATTCCCCTAAGTTTTGTCATCAGAGTTGCCTTTGTAAGCAGCTCATGCTACATCCCACTTGCCATCGTTTCTAATTCCCGCCTCCTAGAAATGATGGCCCCATTGGCGGGACGAGGTAGTCTGATTTCTACAGTTCTTGTGATTTTGCTGCTGATTCTGCCGACGAGCTCACTCCAGACGTTGTCCAGGTGACTTTTGTATTCAGCTGCATATTCTGTATAGGAAGCATATTTAATTGTTGTGTCTACAAGATCGCCCTGATGGCCCTGTTATCGATGATGAGCTTTTCATTTGTGACTGCATTGCCTAGTGTTAACTGTTTGCTTGTCATTAGGAACATACTGAGCCGTGTGACAAAACCGTGAAAGATTCATGCCAGCGACTCTGAAGTGTCAATTGGAGGACACCAATACTTTCAGATCATGTATCTTGAAATCATTTTCGACGCGGATTTGGTTGTACCTAGGTCGTGTTACCCTACTCAGGGTGAGTAGTAAGTGGGTATCCAACTCCGAAGTGGATGCTACTGCTTGATGAACGATGGACACGAGGCATAGTTAGTTGTTTCTGAACGGGAGGTGACACAAGAATGAGTCGTTGACATGAATTTTCGGTGTATCTACTATGCACTAAATTTTGTTGCGATAACTGTAGAACCCCACCTCCTCTACTAAGGCTGTCGTTCCGGACCAGTGACTTTGCTTACGTGAACTCAGCATCAGTAACTTCTGTATGCAACCAGACCTTATTGCTTTAAATGTGATCCCAAGCATTTACAAACTTACGTAGTCGAACTTCGGCAATTTTGCTGTGGGGTATTCGGCATCGGTCTACATACACGATGTATAAGGGTTTAACAATGTATCCGAGACCCTGCACTACATAAGCGCAGCATGATTCTTGAAGAAGATTTGTATAAGGGTGAATTTGCACGAAACATTTTCAGGACTCAACAGTTAATAGATTGTGATGTACTTTTGGTGCCTTCGTGCCGACCTGTGAAATGTCTACCGCTAATCATTTTTGGTCGGGCATTGCAGATTAATTTATATCAGAGGCAGCTGGCCCAGTGGTGTTCCCTTGCTTAACTTCTTGTTTGTGACTCATGGTGAGTGGCCAGTAGTTTCGGAGTTTGAATGAGTACCGATCATACGCACCTATGTGTGTTTCATGTAAAATTAAATATAGACCTTATTATTTTTGCAATAAAACGCAGAAAGAAGACGAACACTTCTTATTGTCTCTTGAGTATCATAAACAATAACCGCTATGCCAAGATATGGTTAACGTTTGGTGTGACCAGACGTGGTTGAGGTGCAGAGTGAGTGAGGAAAGTTAACACTTATGTCCATGGCAGTCTTAAGCTGAAAAATAACTTTTTGTACGCACAGTGCTGGCTTCAACCGGATTATTGCAGCCACTTCAGCAAACCGAAAGTAGAGGGAATTAGCGTGACGTAATACAACTGTGAACGTTGAGCGCAACTCTATCCGGTGACCCGAGACCAATAGATATTCACCTATTGAAGAAGGCGGCGGCTTACATGAGCACCGGGGTTGAGGTTATTGGGGTTTTTGGGCGATTCTGTGCTGAACCCGCACGGCACATGCTGATTACTTCGGAAAATCAAAGTTCTATCAGTTCTGCCTGTGTAAACGCTTCCGCAGTCACACACGGTTATTGTTAGTGATACTAAGATGACACGAAATGCACTCATCTAACAGTGTTCGTCTTCTTTCTGCGTTTTTCGTATTTCGGAATGGAACTATTGCTTTAAATTATTGTTATTATTATTATTAATGCAAAAATTGGAGCATATGTTGACCATCACTTTTCCGGAAGGATGCCCAGTCGGTTTCACTGTACGGTTTACCATCCGGCTGTTCAGCCGGATCCACGAGCGCTGCAGTGTGATTCCAGAAGGTGTTATCAGTGAAACTAAGGTTAAGGAGTATGGGAGTTAGCTAGACGCATTTGGATAGCAACACGAAACCCTTCTCTTCTTCCGGTGGACACCCATCTTCATACGGCAAAATTCATTTCTGTACTTTCCCAAAATCAATGGTGTTATCCTTTTTTCTAGCCACCATCCTTAGTATTAACGTTTGAATTACCTTCCTATCCTTTGCTTCCCTCAAGTAACTGACAGAGCAGGGACCGTTCATGAAGGAAACGTAGTCGGTACCTGGTTGACTAGGGGTGATCTAAGTGTTTGGTTTTGGGTAATACAAGACCTCGGGACACCGTAGCAAATTTTGGCTCAATGATCCGCTCAAGAAGGAATACTTGCGGGAATCGCTTATTGCTTCAGTTCCACCAGAACCAGAATTTAAACCGTGTTCTACCTTAGTTGGGTAAGAAAATGTGGATATTATGACTTGTAGATGGACTGAGTGCTCGCCTTGTGCACTTGGACGCCGTCAACATTTTATTAACTTTTTCCAGCGCATTTAATCTCCGCTAACCATGATGTGTCGACTACGACAAATTACAACTTACATTCATGTCACTAGAAAAGGCAAAGCTCCAAAGCATACATTAGCACTTTTGGTAGCATGATTATAATTTCGCATACGTAGAACAAACTTACTTGTGTATCGATCACGTGGTAGAGCAGAATCAGTGTTGTCAGAATGAAGGTGGATGCACTAATCAATGATTTCATCAACAAAGAATAAAAGGATTCCTGCCGAAGAGAAAAACAAGTGATACTGAAATTCTGTCTAGTTTGACGAATAAGTGAAACGGATTTAAATGACCCGGAAACCCTTATGTCCAATACGCACAGATACATTCAATATGTCTGTTCAGTGGACTTTTGCGCATAAAAGGCTACTGTTCACCTCAAAATTGTCTCTACCGGTCAACGGCAGTGTTTAACATAATTTTTGAATAGAACGCTGCAACTAACGAGGCCAATTAGAAGCAATTGTTGCTGGATTATAAAGCTTCTGCTATATTCAGGATATCAGCTTATGCTTGTTATGCCATGACAGCTGTGCGTTTGCTCATTCCTACTGGTGGGTTTTGATACACCGCAAGGACTGGTTTCTCTTCTGGTAACGCAATATTAATCCACCGCGGCAGGTACATTGCAACTATGGAACAGTGGCATACCACGAGCTTGATAAGCTCTGTAGTATAGGCTATGTGAAAATTTTGACATCAAGGTAAATTGCGCAGCGGTGGACCCTTATGAAGCTACTAATGTGAGGCGAAAAAGGCATGAAAGCAACATCCTGGATACCGACCAATTGATTCAGTGTCGCCTTCAGCTTACCCACAGATATATAGCTCTTAAATTGCTGTGTTATAATGTTTCAAAGGAACACACAGCAAATATGTTGCTACTGATAGGCATGACGCGCAATGAGACCAGTGCCTGTCGTATCCTGGGTAAAGTCCGAAGTACAGTTGTAAAGAACTGCCGTATCAGGAGTCAACTGGATGACATGTCACACGACAACGTAAAACGTATAATCTTGTGTACTGATAACTGGCCCAGGAAGCATTGTCACACGATTATACTACTGGCTACAGTGACAGCGGTCAGCAATCTATGGGGGAATTTTCACTCAACCCAGCTCATGTTGATGGTGTTAACGACGTTAATACAGCTCAACCAGCTAATACGTCATGAGGCGATATAAAATAATGTACACCCTTACTCGAACGTAGACCTTTGCCATCAGGAATTCCAGTTCAAAGACCATAAGCAGAATACCAAGTATAGCAAACCCCAACGAATAGTCGGCCACTTTTCGTCTTCTTTCGTTCAGCATCTTCCGTCGACTCAGCCGCCAGCTAATGTTGTGAGCTTGAGGCTTCTGTAACGATGGTGCCTGTTTCGCGTTAAATGGACCACCGGCAGGGCACATCGGAGCAATGTCCATCCCACCTCTTCGCATCTGCGCTCGCGGTCCAGTTGGTTTTTCGTCCACCTCAGTCATCCATTTGCCTAAGTCCTCGTCTTCGGTACGTTCCTCCTCTGACCGCTGAAGCTTATATTCAGAATAGTGACTCGGCCGGTATTTGTGAAATAGTTTTCGTTTGAATGGAAGAAATTTCAAGGAAAAAGGAGAGTCACCAGTTAATCGGCTTTGTCCGATCTTTCTTTCCGATCCCTCATCTTTTGACTCGACACTATCCTCGCGTGGAAGTTGTAAGTGACCTTCACATTCAAGATCAAAAACAATGATGTGGTTTGGGTAGGCTGAATAAATCTTGGACCCGACAGCAAGCTTGTATCAAATGACAACGATACTAGATGACAACTGAACATCGCTTTGGACCAAAACTATGTAGAGCAGCAATCGCGACAACCATACCAAGTACATAGCTTTAGCTCCAAAAGGCAACACGATCTTCAACTAGTTACGGCGGTTGACTTAGAACTAGGTTGATCCTCAGGAGGATTATAGTCCCTTAATGGCTCAAACAGCAAAATAGTATCGCTATTGTATTATTATAGGTAGGTTATTGACAAAAATTTAGTAACTGCTCAAACAACAAGGAAAATTTTAAGCTCCTAACGTTACTCAGTAATTTAGTATGACATTTAAGTAGGTGACGGTTGTGCGGATTTATATATCTCTACAGCTCGCTGGTAGAGCTTTTAATAGTACAGTAATTTCATTGACCAGCGTTTTCAAGAAACAGTCAAACTGTGACTTCCGATGGAGAATTAATTCGACGAGGCTTACAGATACCTAACAACTGCGCGCAATGCCCTCCACTTGAAAGAAATACAGAAGCCATAGCTAGCGATCAACCTTCTTTTCAGTCGATAATCATCAGGTGGATATAATCACAACATAGGGAACTATACCAATTTACACGCATGTTAGTGCATTGTACCAAGCTTTTAGCGTGGCACATTTTCGAAATCGCGTGCAGTACTTTCAAGTTAGCGAGGCTAAGAACGCTGTTTTGGCGTCGTTGCCACTCTCATTGGTCATGGGACGTAAACCAATGGGACACCGGTTAGAAGCCCATAGCATAAGCGACAGATAGTCCAATGAAAGTGGTCAAGCATCACCTGTTCTCTTTTGATGCCTATCTGAAGAAAACCTCGATGATTGGCCTCCAAACTGAAACCGTCCAATGCGCAACTTGTGATGCCTGTCTAAGGAGGAGATCCCAACTACCACATTATCCGAAGCTTAAGACGTAACCAGTGCGGACAGACATATTAACCAGCACATGAAGCGGTCTATAGTGGTCGCTAGCGGCTACCTGGTGGTGGCTTATTCAGCGGCCTAACCATGGTGGCGTAGACAGGCAATCTTCTAACTGGTATTCCGCAGATCAACAATGGCTGCTAGGCGATTAGACAGTTGTGTGCGATTGTCATTGCAACGATCATGGGGGACATGGTTCCCATTGAAGTTGGTAGACAAACCTGAAGCTGAACAACGAAAATTCTAAGTTTGCTTATTTCGATCACAGTTGATAACTCAACAAAAAATAATAGGATTCCAAATGTGGCGTTGACATGACGTTAGTGAGGGTTCGTTTGTCTCCACACCCATAGGCGACTTTGTTAATCAGTTATCGCTTCAGTGTCTCCATGTATGGCGTATGTAAAGGTCATAGGAACCTATGTATTCATAGGATAATTAGGCTTCACTTCCATATGATCGCCCATACATTTTGAGACGCTTTGACAAGTGGCTCTTCAAATGGAACCATTAGAAGCACAGTCAATGCAGATAAAACCTCCCTATTACTTCCATGGACTGGCATGCTATCCTCATGAAATCGGCATTACTCAGCAAAGAAGCACCCAAAGGGGCTACAATTGCTACAGTGTTCATACATGTCACATCGACCTGCTAGAAAGAACGCAAGTTATAATTAGTGGCGACGCAGACATTTTACTCTGGTAATTCAGGTGAGTACTTGGAACAGACAAACACTGTTGTCTCACCCACGGGCGTTCCTACAATGTGTTTGCAATCATTTACAAAGGCAACCGCACCCACTAATCCTGCTATGGACCACAGTTTCAGCTAGTCTTAGAAGCAGTCATGTGTGCACGCCGTGACACAGGTTGTTATCGACTTGGCAACTACTCGGAAACATTTTGTCATTGGAAAGTAGGTAATTCCGGAGGCATTGTTGAAGAAGGAAAATTGTTCCAAACTATATGCTTACTATGTGTATGCAATGCTCGTTGGCAGCTCCCATCAGGGCCGTAGGGTCACTTGATATTTCAAGCTTATCAAGCACTTGGAATTGAAGTGTAAATATCATGTTGAAACGCAGGATTGACATGCATCTTACGACCTTAACATAACGGCAGGTTCATGGGTCCTGTAGCGGTAACTGATTACCGAAGTGGCCTACAGGTGTGGAGACGAACGAACACTCACTAATGTCGTGTCACCGCCACACTAGGAACCCTCCTCTTTGGAACAATGGCTGCAGATCCACTGATGGTCTTACCTACACAGCGAACTTGACCTTAGTATACAATGCGCCGACTACATCAGCAATACGTAGCTACGCTATTCACATGAGTGTACGGCCAACTGAAAAGATACAGCACGAGAACTTTGTAGCTGTAAAGCTTTTAAAAATTCTATTTGCGTAGAGGCCCTAGCTTTACCTCCTTCATACGAATTACTGCAATGTTTCTGATTACCTCACACTGCCTTAACAATCACACGCATATCCTAAGCGAAATCGCACACCTATCGATCCTCCAGATTGCTCGCAGTGGCACGATTACACTATGCATATCGTATCACGTGTGGCCAGATAGGCAAGCGAGCAAGGAAGGCAAGCGTGTAGTCAACCTGTAGGCCTACAAAGCTTCTCTTCCAACAGCCTGCGAGGGTTGCAACCTCAACACAATCGACCAATCCGCTTCTTATCATTACTCAATTGGACATCATATTGCAGTTCTCTTAATTTTGTTTGGTTAGATCTATGACGAGTTAATAAAACCATGTTCTGTTTCCTTCGTTGAGAATTAATCCGCTACTGGAACATTCTGTTTAGAAAGAGAGTTGGATTGTTTTGACCAGTAGGCAGACTATTTCGAGAAACCGATCTGTGCAACGTTATAGGGAACAGTTTTGGTTCTCGATTCATTCGTGGAAACGTCGGTTGGTATCCTTCCAGAAATTCAGAAAGTAAATAGCCGTCGAGTAAGGGGTCTCTTTTGAAAGTGTTTTCTATGACTTAATGGTCAAGATGCTCAAGGTGGTCTGTATAACTATTCGTCAAAGATTCTTTCGAGCTTGTCGACGACCTCGACATACTTAATTTATCCGACAAAGTCATGCGCTCTATAGGGCACTGATGAGAGAATACGAAATGCATACATTTGCCAGTCTTCGCCTTCTTACTGCGCTTTTCATATTCCTGTTTGGTTTCGGAAACGATAAATAAATATGTCTTCTGTGGCTGTAGTTTCCCAGGATTTTCGACAGCCTATTGTAGATGTTCAATAACGTAGTGGCTTGGAGATCTCCTCTTCTGAATGAGAAATTTGTGTTTAATATATAATTATGGCTTATTTATGTACCCAGGGATTAAAGTAGCTTGCTTTAATGAATTCAGCACACCTTTGCTCGAGTCAACGCTTGCAAGCGCAATTCCGGCAAGGACGCGACCTGCTACCCCCGGCCAATTTCATACTTCTCACGCGCTTACATATTACCTAGCTAGCTCTCCTCCTGCTGCCTTATTTTTAGCCTTAACTCTACTAACGTCATTTTAATAAAATTTGCCTACCTTATTTTCCGTGTTCTTAGGTAAACCAACGGCTGGCCGTTTAGTCACATATCCGATATACAGCGCAAGACAGCGCTATATTTGGTGACCACTTTAGCAATATTTTATGTTCCTTGCTAATATTTCTTTGCAGGTTTGGCTAAGTGACTCTTCTTCCCTTCCGTCTTCATTTTTTACTGTGCAGTTCAAATCCGCTGGCCTAATCCTTTTTACTATCGACTTTGATTGTGTAGATTCCAACATATAGTTTGCTTTTGTTAGTCTCCCTATCTTGACCTTTCGTTAGGCTAGCCTTAAGTCCTGAAATGTCAGTTAGTTTCTCAGTTCTCATTGAGTGGTATTAACTCCGAAATGACTGTTTCACTTCATAAATTTTGTGCTCCATCCATGTGTTGTCGATGACATTGATAACTTTATTGGTCTGCCAGAGAAGCGGGGAAACTATGCAGCCGTAAAGGCGGCTGTTCTGAAAAGAACTGGCTTGTCTGATAGACAGTCACCAAGCTCCTAAGACAGGCCGAAATCGGCGTCATTAAGTCGCCACAATCATTGGGAAAAATTTAGAGCCCAGCAAGCACGTGACGGTAGGCGATGTTTTTCTTCGGGATATTTGGTTCCGCTGATTGCACCGAGAGATCTGTAGCATTCTTTATGCTAGTGCGTATGCGATATTGTCACAATTGGCTAGCACAGCCGACCGAATTTGGAAACCGTGCGAACAGCTTTCGGAAACCCATTCGACTAATAGCACCGACATAACAGAACAAAAGGCGCAGCTTTCAGTGCTTATTAGACAACTACTGGACTCTATAAAATCAGCACCAAACCGCCGCTATTGTGCTAGAAATCGGAACAGCTCCCATTAGATATTCTCTTCAAGGACTTTGCCAAGTAGATCCAGTTGCTGGTCCCAACAGCGATGTGGCCAACACGCCAGGTGGTGTCGCCCACCCCGTTCCTACAAATGCTAAACGTAGGGAAACGGCCAAACGGAACGAGCTGGCCGACGCAGTAGTATCTGTTTGGGTATCGATGGGAAAGCATGAGTGCGCTGTCTCATTATCACTTGTGCAGAAGTCAGTTTCTTCCTACTTGATCCCAATGACGTTAATGAAAGGTGACCAAGTCATTGCACGCAGCCAACAGGACCAGCCTTCACGTGTGTGGTAGGCGTTAGCTCGTGCTTATTCCTGACCAATGACGCTCTTTTAAACGGATATTCTTTTCACTGACTTTAAAACGCCCACTATCGAACTGGACCTTCCGCAGCACCGTGGTCTGCTTGTGGATACGAAACAACAACATCTTATTGACTGCTTAACCTCGTCGTCATAAGGACTTAGCATGACACCGTATTAATCAGTTCCGTGTACGCAAATTAGATGCGCTCGCCCATCAGGAAGTGCTTCTTTGAAAGCTTTTCACAGG